CTTCATGGCATAAGTTACCAGAAATATGTAAAATGTAAAATGCGGTGTCTTGAAATATTGCCATGAATAGTCTGTAGTGGATTTCTGCATTAAAGAGCTGTAGTTCTAGGAAAGTCTAGGTCTAGCTAGTACTTTAATATAGCTGTGGCTTTATTCATGAGCTGTCCTAACTGAGTCTCTGTTACCAGGGCTCCTTCAAGAAAGGACCTAAAATAAAGCTCTGCTGCTTTGATCTTTTTCAATCCCAAAACTATTCTGGTTCTGGGGGCCAGACTTTGTAAGGCTTGGATCAGTTTTTACTTGACTCTTTGATCAAAACCGCTGTAGATTTCAGAGGAAGTTGTGAATAGTGAAGTGTGTTTTGTATTGAAATTTTACATTGAAAGTGATTTGTCAGTGAGATTGTATTGGAGTCACCTTTCAGTGCAAGATCTGTTTTTCAGCAATCTAAAATTGATTCAAGTTCATCTGGTAGGAAGCTCTGAGTAAATTAATCTTAACACCTTAATAGATCCCTGACTGAGATACAAATGAAATGTTCCACATCTTGTCAGTGGAATGAACACAGGAATTGTTTTTCTAAAAGTCCAGTAGAATTTGAAGTTCTGATTCTGTACCTATGAAAGTTCTATATGAATAGAATACAAATAACTTCCTACACATTCACTCAGGTTTGAACAACAAATGGAAAAAGATTCAAGTCCTGCAATGATGCCTTTGTGTGTTTTTTTGCTTCCCTGTCTTACACTGAGTCTTTTTTCTGTGGAGGCCTTTGTACTGATGACACAATCCTTTGCAAAAGCTCTTTTCAGAAGCAGGCTGGGGATGGAGCTCTGGCTTTGGGGTGAAGCTTAAACAGGGTTTGCAAAACAGACCAAGTCTCCCCTATGGGTTATCTACAGTGTAACTTGGTTATGAGTGCAGTGAAAAGGGAAATATTGCTTTACATTATGCCAAAGTGGTATTTTTTCATCATGGAGGTGTCATTCCATCTTCTGAGTGCATCAGCAGTCATTACAAAGCATTAATGCTGGAACTAGTGGCTGTAGTCTGCAGTGCCATGTAACAATCTGCTGAAAAAACACAGGATAATAAAGGTACTGCTTTGAGGGTGGGCTGCACAAAGGTTTGTGCCAGCTCAGGCCAGAATGGTCATGTAAACAGGGGGGCTGCTAGCAGAAAATGCCACAAAGGCATTTTGGTTGTGTCTGCTCCTGTCTTTTGTTAAAGCCAAATGTTTTAGCTTTAAGGATTTGCATGTAAAACTTATATGTATGGAATTTGCAAGCCCAAAAACTGTATGTGTAGAACTAAAACTCAGCTTAAAGGCATGCAGGAATGCAGAACAGGTGTTTTCTGTTTTTTGGAATTATCTGAATTTAAGTCTTTTGTGCTGCTTTTTAGTCTCTTGATACTGATTTCAATAACATAGTAATTGTTTGGTTGTCAGATGAGGTATATATTCTACTCAAAAGCAATAATAAAAATAATAAAAATCTTAAAATGAAAGAATGAACTGCTATTGCCTGTGCAGTAGTATGGACATGTAACCAGTTCTTTATTTGTCCTTGTCCTCCACCTTCTCTCTTACATAATGTCTTCCATCTCGAGTCCTTGCTTTGCAATGAACTGCAGAATATTTTTTGAAGCAGTAATTTCTATAACTGAAGCTTGGTGCAGCACAGCATTCCAGTCTGACAGGTCATTTAGGTACGGAGGAAATAATAATGTATCATGATGGACCAAAAGAGATAGCTGACAGCCCATGGACAAATATTTACCTCTGCTTTATGCTTTTTTTGGGTGGGTTACATTAAAATTAATGAACTGCTTCTGTCTTTGAAGGTTTCTCCTTTTCTATATGTAAATTGCAGTGTCGTTAGGGCAGTGCCACTGCAATCTGTGTGAGAGGGGAGGTGTCAATGACCACAGAACATCCACTCCAGCTGTCTCTTAACCTCTGTTATTTATATCCCAAAATGTACCATTTTTGTACATTTTTTTTTTTATTTTTGCATGACAAGTAAGGTGTCCTGAAACAAAAGCATTTAAAGCAAACCAGAGTCAGGTCCAATAAAAGATTTGATACTGTAACTGGGTAAAGGAATTTTTAGCCAGTTGAGGCAATGAGATATTTAATATAAGGCTTCAAGATACAAATGAGTTCTCATAAGCACATGATTAACTTGATCTAAGGTAATGAATTCTCTGGCACTGGGAGGCAGAGAGCGTTAAGGTAAAAAAAATAAATATCCAGAAGCAGTAAATTCATTTTGTCACTTGAGACTTGATCCAAAGCTTGTGTGAATCATGGAACTGAAACAGGCTGACAGCACTGAATCTGAAAACCTGCATTGTGAAGAAAGATTACTTTGAGAAGAATTGGTGAGCTTTCCTTGTCCTGGCCAATGCCTCAAAGGACAGGAAGGACATTACAATTTCTGCATGGTAAGAGGATTTTGGAAACAACTTCAAAGATAAATGAGATACAAATACTATTGCTTATTTTCATGTTCTCATATCTTGCTATAAAATGTTTTTAATACATCTGACAAAAATAAACATTCAAGGCTAAGGTCTTGCAAGGTATTTGCATTCTTAAAACATATATTAAATTTTTGTTTTTATGTGACATAAAAGATGTTAGTGGAAAATATACAGAAGGAGGGACTGTAGCCTCCTCAAGCATGGTACTTAAGCAGGTGCCTTCCTACTCATAAAGGAGAGAGGCACAGGAACCTGCCTGGGCTCTGGAGCAAATGTTTCTTGCATCTTTTCTGTAAAACATCTGTGCTTTGAAGAGAGAGAGCACTTATTGCAGCTAGAAACAAAAGATATTTGACTGGGTGCTGTGAGGGCAGTTACCTGTCGGCTGGGTGGGAGAATAAAAATTTCTAACCATACATCAGGTTTTCTCCAGCAGAGATAAAAAATAAGACTGCCAACCTAGACTTCTCATTTTGAAGCAATCTTGTGAATACAATAATTTACTGTTTCCAGCAGCACGCCAGTGAGGTGTGTACAGTCTTTGGGGATATTTTTGATGTTACTGCTTTGACTGGAGTAAAATCAAGCACAGGAAAAAGGCTGGAATGATTAGCTGTAGCCTCTGCTGTCTGTGTGTCCAGGAACAGCTTATGAAGTATCCTCTGGTCCTGCCCAAAATATTTTGGCCTCCCAGCCAACAGGAGGGACCACTGGGGCACGGGGCTTGTCAGCTGGTAACAATGGTGGCAACACACACAGGTGAGGATCAGGTGGGGCTGTTCATCAGTATTTTCACTATTATATCTTGCAGATGTGCTCTGAGATGGCCAGGAAGCAGGTTTGAAAATTGATTTCCCTGTGCCTGTGCAGGGTTTACAGCAGCCACGCTCAGCTACATGACCAAACACCTTTCTTGAGTTCCTTTGCCTGGATCTCTATCCATCTCTTTTTTCTAATTTTATACCTGGGTCTTCTGCATCCTTGGAGAAGAGGAAATCACCAAAAGTAAGACCAAATCACAGCAAGTACTTAAATCACTTCTCTTGTATTTAAGCCTTTGAGGTCCCTAGCACTGCAGAGAAAACAACATCGTGGGGAAGGGTATTTGTTCACAAAGAAAAGCATTTAGGATTTAGTTAACTAGCTCAGTCTGGAGACATGGCATGAAACTGTAGGGATTCATTTTTGCTTTCTTAAAGGCAGTTTTCTTTTTTTCTTGCAATGCTTTTGTGTCCTAGCCAGAAATGTTAAACACCTTCCAAGTATATGAGAATCTTGTTAACATTTTCTATTTTTTTTTTTTTATTATTATTTATCATCGATTACAGAGCAGATGCACAAACACTGCAGGTTAACAGAACATGCTACAATCTTTTCTAAGCACATGTTTAATGTTTCCTTTAGAAATGTTGCAGCATAATTTCTCTTCAGGCAATGCAAGTCCAGCTGTGCAGCACACCTCTGTATGTAGCACACACTGAATACATGTAGCTCATCACTGGAACCCAGAAATCTGTTGGGTTTGCTTGCCCACAGTTCAGATTTGTCACCTCCTGTGGGGGTTTGAATGCAGCCAGGTGACTCCTCCATGAGCAGCACCAGGAATTCCAGCTTGGCTGGCACAGCTGGCAGCCCTGCTGCAGGGACCTCTGATACAGGAGCCTTCAACAAGCAAAGCAGGAGCCTGAGATGCTTGTAGGCAACAACGTCAAAAAATATACACTTGAATAAATAATCCCAGTCCTGTTCAAAGAGGAATTATATGTTTTAGTTTTTGGAACATAACCCAGGGGGACATCCATACATTATTCTTCAGTGATGGGGTGGGTTTAGGAGGTGTTATTTACTTGCAAGTTATTTTTTAGTAAATTGTGTTTCCTACCAGAATGGAGTGGTATGCAAAGTTTAGGTCTGTGGTACAGATACAAACCAGCATGATGCCCTGTCCTCATACAGGCCCTTGCACCTGAGTGGATTTCCTGATGTGGCAATGCACAGAAACTTCTTTCTTTTGTTTCACTAGTGTGAAAATTAAGTAAGAAATGGTTCCTACATAACTTTTTTTTTCCTATGCATGATGTCACCCTTTCCCCCCCTCTGTCTGGCCTCAAATTCCCTAAAAACATCAACTGTGACATTCTTTATGGGCTTTCTGAGCTTCCTGCCACTTGCCCAAAAGGACAAGGCTGAGGTGAGATCAATCCTCAGTTGGGTGCTAGCTCTGATCCAAAGAGCATCCCTTTTGTCTCAAAAGGCTGAATTTTATGAAATTAGAAACTTAATTTTTGACCTGATCTGACAAAAAGTAGCAATTATCCTGTATGTATTTAGGTGAAGTTGTTTAGTTCCTGTGTCCCTCCCCTTGTCAGAAACATGCACTGTTGTGGAAGGCTACAGAAGGAACCCCTGCAAGCCTTTTAGGAGAATCTGATTCTGTTTACCAGATGTAGACTTTTAAATTCCTTACATCTGTTTTTTCTATTTATTTTGTTTTATATTTGTTTTTGTTCCAGCTCCTGTCAATGTGCAAAAGGAAAAGCATGTTCAGATGGAGAAAATGCCATTGATAGCTCCTAAAGTCAGCGTGCTACATGGGTAAATGAAAAGAATGCACATTCCTTATTCCTTTCCCAAAACCCCTTGGGGGAAATCCTTAACTTCTCTTCATCAAGGACCCAAGCTGAGTTTCCTTCTTACCTTCTCCCTATATTCACACACACAGCCCATGATTTGAACTGAGTGTGAAAGAAGCAGAGGTAGGTATGGGCAGTGGATGTAACCCTGCTCATTTCCTCTGGGCTCTCAGCTGTGTTTTCCAACACTGTTGCATTTTGTGTTTATAGCACCGCAAAGATTTTCTTCCTCATTTAATTTTCTCTTCCCATGCTGCAAGGCTGAGTTCATTAGCTTAAAAGACTGTTACGCTTCTGGAGAACAGAATATATTTGGCAGGAGGTTTGTGGGTAGTAATTATATAAAAATTCAATCAAGCCATTTTTTTGATTGATTTTTGGGATGAGATATATAGGTTTCAGTGGAATTAATTGCATCTTAGTATTTTTTTTTAATTTATGTAAAGCATCAGATTGCCTCACTTCCACTTTCTTTGGTATATTTATTTCTTCCTTTTACCAACTATATTCAAAGTCTCTTCTAGGTAAATGCTCAGATTGCATTTTTTTTTTTTTTTAATGAAATATGTCTTCCCCTTTCAGTGATATTCCTAATATAACACACATGTAGCTGAAAGGAATTTTTACAGAAGGATAATTTTCAGTCTTAAAAATGCCTTGGCCAAGCAAGTAGACTTTCTTGAAAACTGCAGAAGGTACATGAACATAAAATAACACTGACTGTGACTGATGACCATTTCTTAAGGAATTTATTTTCATGACATGAACTCAATGTATAAGAATTAAGGAAGTATTTTAAATAGCAATGAAAACAAAAAATATGAGACCTATATTACAAAAGCAGAATGGTGTTATGACAGTAATGCTAAAGTTGCTGTTATCAGACACTGCTTGCTGATGTAGACCTTGATGAGAAAACGTTGCTTGGAAAAATGCCCCATCGGTGTTGTGATACCATCACATTCCCTGCTCCAGGACTGAGCCAAAAAAAGCCTGTTCAGATCTGCATCTCTTAGAACATTTTCAGCTGTGGTGGATTAGAAAGTAATGAAGAAAATTTCTCAGAGACTGATTTATTATTAACCTGGTTGTGCATTTTTTTCTGCATCTGTTCTGTATCAGTTGAGCAGACTGATTTGTAAGAAAATAAGGCTGAAAATTCATGAGGAGAAAAGCAACAAAGCCAACAGCAAAAATGCCAAGAAAGCCCTGGACTGCCTGTGTCAACTTCTTCCCTCCCAAATTCTCCTGAGGACCTGTGCAGTCTGAAATGTCTGATGCATTGGGAATGTGACACCTTTTAAATGGCACAGGAATCCAGTGGGAAGATTGGTTTTGTTAAAATTGAAGGTGACTGTTTGGGGTGGAGGGTGGGGTGGTGTTATGTGTCTTTCCATCAGGAATTGATACTGGAGATTGGCATCTCCCCTTTTTCTAATAGCAGAGGATTTTTTTTTTTCCTATGGTTCACTTAACAATAATCTGGTCTTCTCAAGAGTATCTGATAGAAGAATCTGGAAAAAAAAAAAAAGGTGGTTTACTCCATAGCTGAACTTTAAACTTTTGCAGCTGTTGTTTTCCCATTGCTTTAATGAATCTTACCTCCCCCTGTAAGCAGAGTGGTTTTTCAGGTTTTGAAGCATTGGGAAGGTGTATAGTAAGACAACTGAATGGTGTGAACCCTTTGGGACTTAGTTCTTCAAGAGGAGCAACTGTGTTGCCAGTAGGTCTTGCAAGTACACAGGGCACTGTAGTGACTGTTGCACCTGCAGTTACTGATTTTCCCTCCTTGTCCTTTTGAGGAAGAATGTTTTGTAAGAAATTAGTAACCACACATCACTTGAGAGATGGCTGTTTAAAAACCGTCTGGTTTACCCTTTATTTTCTGCTATCCTATTTTATAGTGCAGAAAAATATTGAATATTTTAGTTTCTATTCCAATGATATTGTGTTATCTTATAAAGCTATTATTTAACAGGCAAGCTTTGTGAGAGCCAGTTGTGTCAAGCTCCTGTGTCTTGTTCCTACTTCACCAAGAGAAAAATTAATGGTAGTGTCCCTTCAGATTCAAAAACCTTTTTCAGAGAACGTGGATTCTGCTGGATTTATTATTTAAAAATCATTTATCCTTATTTTGTAGCAGCTGAAAAATTGTCCCAATCATAATTTCATAAACCACATGTTCAAGGCTATAAAGGAAAACAGGAACAGTTTGCATGGATTTTCATTCCAGGTTTGTATAAGGGTAAATGGTCATTGGCATTTTCATTCATTTGCAGTTCTAAAGTTCAGACCAAGGTCAGCAAACCTGAGGCTTGAGGTGCTAATGGAGCAAGAGAGGAGAAAGTAGGGGTAAGAATTAAAGTGAGTTGCAGTTTAAATCATATGCAATTGCAAAACCAAAATCCAACCTACTGTCTAAGAAACTGCCAGTGCTCCTGGAGTAATGTGTAGAGTCTGTATGTAAAGGATTGTTTCCTTTCAATAGGATTTACAGTTTGTAGACAAGAGTTACGTTCTGTAATGTATGGCAAGAGATCTGTCCATTTGGAATATTATTGTTAAAATCCACTAGAAACAGAGATCTTGCTACTCAGGTACTCACTGAGCCATGGCCAGCTGCAGGGCTGCAGGCAGCATTTAACAAAAAGGACTAGTGGAATCCATTGCAGTTGGCAACTCCTAGGGCAGTAAAGCAGTAAATAATCCCAGGTCATGGAGTATTGTTGGAAGGAGTGGCTCAGGCAGCGTTCAGCACTGCTGCCAGCTGAGGCTGCTGCTGCTGGACTGTGCCCACCCTGCTGCAGTCAGGGCAGTGCTGCAGCCAGCACAGGCTGCTCCAGGGACAGACTCTCCACAGGCTGGGCCCACCTGAGCCTTGGGGATGGCCTCTGGATCTGCTTCCCTGGCCCCTGCCACCCCACTCTGCTTGCACAGAGAAATGTGTTACAGCAAGGCTTTGCCCTGAGAGCACCTGCCTTGGACATCAGTGTGGCAACAACTCCTTCACAGCTGAGCTGAGCTCCTCACTCTCAGTTTAATTAGCAAAATGTTTGAGGATCTGTTCTAGAGCTTAAGTGTCTTTTGTGCTGCTAAAAGTGGCACTTAAGTGCTGCAAGGTGGTTCCAGCAGCAGGTCAAAGGTTGCCACTACAGTCAGCAGGAGGCTCTTTGCATGGCACTTAAAGTATTTTTGACAGGGGTTTTGTTTTTACAAGCATTTGCTTTTTATTATTTTCACCAAAATAAAGCATATAGCATACAGTGTTTTCACACATTTAGGAGATAAGTAAGTGTATCTCAAATTCTTTAATACGTAATACGAAGTTATTTCTTCATTGATTTTAATTTAAATACAGCTTGTTTGCCTTTTTTAAAAACAAACTTTTATTGTGTTACCATACATTTCCCTTGTTAACTTACAGATGTTTAAATAACAACTGGGAAAATACAGTGATGTGTAATGCTAGAGATAAAAAGTTGCTCCATTGGGATGAAACCTGTATATCATGTTACCAACCTGTAAATTAAAAAACCCAATACATTAAATGAATGCTGTCACTTGAACAGAGAAAGAAAACCGTAAGAGAATAACAAATACTTCACCTCCGATTTGTTTGAAAAATAGTAAGAAAATAATCCAGTATTTTATATTTCCACACTGATTGGTATGCATATTAATTTATCTTCTATTTGTTTGCAATTATAAATAAATAGAGGTATAAAGACAAAATCTCACACTGCCGTTCCCTTGAATTTGCCAGCTACAGTAAATGCATTATTTTAAGATCATAAATACATTCTCATTCAGCTTAATCAAATACCACAGGACTAACTTCATGTGCTTTGTTTCATGCTGCATAGTTGAGAAAGGAAAAAATCTGGTGGCACTTGGTATCTTTAATGGCACTTCTTTCAGCAAAGGATAGGATGCATTTGTGTCACTAGCCAGGATTACCCTTCAAACCAGTCCCTTAAAATAGGCTTGAAAAATACACAGAACACTAAGTAAAGCAACAATTCCCATGCTGTGTGCCAAGCTTTAGCTAATGGTGCAAGGATCATCGTTGCTTGGTTTCATTTCCCCTTCCAGCAGCAAAGTGATCACAGCCTTGCTCAAGTAGCTGCACGTTCCCTTTTTTCCAAGTGGGTGGGTGTTGTAGAATGCAGTCATGTCACTCTGCAGAGAGGGAACAGAAGCTGCCATTAGTGTGAATGTGGAAACCAGTCACACATAGGGAAACAAGAACAACATCAGATAAGTTAAAAATACAAATGTGTTTTTTGGACTCTAAAACTAAAAAATAATTCTGCTCAGTTTTCAGAAATCTCCCATATGTAACTTACCTGCATCTATTTCCTCACTGAGTTTTCCAGGACTGCACAGATACCACCTTCTTAACATTTTTTAAAATGTCATAGCTGTCAGAGAACAACTGCTCTCCTAAAACATGCATCTGTGTGATGCCTGGGTGGTAGAATGGTGAGCCAGGGCCTTGGGTGTACATGAAGTGTAAACTGACTGAAGATTTATTCAAAAGGAAAAAATCCAAGATCCAAACCACAGGTAGCACATGAACTCATTCATTAATCAGATCACCAAAATAGGTGTCCTTCACTGAACACCTGTTTTTCACAGTCAGTGACATTAAAACACCTGCTTACTCTCAAATTAGGTATTAGCAGCTCTAAAAAAGGTTTAATGCTTTAATTCAGGAAATTGGTTACTTTTAGTAAATCAAGGGCAGAGATTGTGTGGAGAAAATATTAAGACTTCTGTAGCTTTAGGGTGTGTCTGAACTTACTACAATAAATAATTTTGATATTTATAACATGGTAACAGGGAATTAATAAAGCTCAAAAGATCTGCAAGTACATTTAACAGAAGGCCATAGTTCAGACAAATCAAGAGATTTTAGCAGTGTTAGGAAACCTTGAGACAGAACACCCTAAGAACAATCCCAGACAGGGTAACAGTTGACTGCCAGCAGGCATCCATCCACCTGGGAATATGGGAGAGGCAGGTTCCAGAAAATTTTAATGCAAGGAGCCGAATTTCCAACAATAATCTTAAATACTATTCACAACTGTAAATCAGGGGCTCCTTCTAGGAGACAAAAAGGCATCATTCTAAGTAGGTCTGGGCAGCACCAGTAAAAACTGGGGTTTGCATGGAATTTTCCTTTCTGTTTGTGGCCATTGGGGATTTGCAGCTTGTCACAGAAGTCAGTAGCAAATTCCAGATGCTGTGTGAAGCTGGAACTTGAGAGCCGTTTGTGTGGATGATGGGTGGTTTTGCTATGGCCACAGAATCACTACCCTCCAAATACAAACCAAAAGTATCATCATTTCCAGGAACTTGTGTTCTTTTCTAAACAAAGGTATTGTGGAAATTGACACACTGCTGGGGCTGGGGATCTGGCTTGCTTTCCAATCTTAATACAAAAAATCAGTGGCAAAAAAGTGAACACTGAAACATTTGAATGAGTTCCTGCACAGCACATCCTTCCTCCTCTTTTAAAGGAGCTCAATTCAGCAGGAGGAAGGGCTGCTGCATGTCAATGTTACAAATCAATAGATTCTTCAGAGCTAGCACAGATAACTTCAAATATACTGTCCACAATTGAAATGCCAGCTGGTGCAAGGAAGATCATCCTCAGTAGCTCTGGGACTTGTCCCCCTGCTTTACTCTTATCTCCTCCTTTAACCAGGCCAGTAAACCTGGCTTTATTACAGAATTTCAGAGCTTTGAGGAACCAAAACTTGTAGTGAGAACACTGAGAGATCTTTAAAGCATAAAACCTATAATTCTAGTGAAGTAAATATTAAAAGCATTTATTCTTTTATTTGAGTTTTAGCCAAAAGTTTTCCAGTTCATGAAGGAAACTCTAGCAGAAAAATCAGTAACTAGGAACAGTTCTGTATCTCAGGTTCTTACTTTAATATTGTCAATGTAAATTCTTTGGTTATTAAAGTTTTCTTAGTCTCTGTGTACACAAGATCCTAAGTTCACACTTCCTCGCTGAGCTTTAGGTTTTTTTCTTTTATTTTTTTAACTCTTCTCAGTTCTAGTATCCCTCCTAATGAGTTCTTTCCCCTTTGAGGATAACTCTTCCAGCTTACTTAGAGTCCCATTTCAGAGCCATGGAATGCTGTATTCTCCTTACCATAACATTTTGAATTTACAACTCAGCAATAAAGTGCACCTCTTTCATCTCTGCTTAGAGGCTCTTTGCAGACCTAGGCATCACTTGGGTATATTAATTTCTTATTTGTGTTCTGTTCTGAACTTCTATCAATTGCTTTTTACTCTGAACGGCACGGAATTAACATTTAGAACTAACTTCAATGAGAATGGTAAATTCTGTAAAACAGCAATATTTTACTCACTTGATTTGCAGCTCCCTTAGGACTGCTGTGATCTTTCTGAAAGTCATGAAATGCTTCTTGCACCACCTTGTCCAAGTCCACTTTGTCCTGGAACTCTAGCTCAGGATTTCTCTCCAAAATAACAGATATAACCATCAGCAACTAGAAGGCAGAAAAAGATTGTAAGACTTTAAATTTCATTTTTTAAAATTCAGGTTACATAATAGCACTGCTAATAATTGCATATACCTCTTTCAAGCAGGAAGCCATATAAAAATGGCACAGGTAATAGTGCACAGATAATAGAATTCTGACTTTGATAAAAGAATCACTGGAAAAGCAGGCTTTTATGAAAGGTTACAATTGCTGGTGACTGCCTAGGTAAGGGCAGGGTGTAAATGATTGACATTAACATCTAACTTGGCTGGGAGCCAGGGAAGTTATTTTCCATTTTATTCAGTTTACTGTGTGGCTGCATAAATGCTGTGGAGAGAGTGAAAAGCAGCGAACATTGAACCTCAGCATTTGGTGTTCTGAGGCATAATCACAGATGGTAAAATTCTGTTATGACAAAGTTTATAAAAACCAAAAACAGCAGTCAGCAGTAAAGCCTCAGTTCATCAGAATTTATGTTACTTACAACTGAAAAGGGTTTAAAGTAGGAAGGTGAACACAATGAGAGTCCTGTTGCAATATCTATAAGTAGGCAGTGGAGCCTGCACTGGTCACCTCAGGTTTGATAATTTTGTTATCTCTTAGCAAAATCTGGGGGTGATCCAGCAACCAGCCTGACCATGAGCTGTGAGCCAGAATTGAGAGGGGTTGGATGTTCCTAGGGAGGAGCACTCACACAAGCACCAGGGGCTAACAGTGAATGCTGCTGACAGCACAGATGCCAGGTACCAACAGTGCAGCTGCAAGCAAACTTGTGCAGTGGGGGAAGGATTTAAACAGCCTCTTGCTTTCCTGCTAGGATGAGGAACACAATGGGAAAATGGGAAATGGGAAGGTGGCTGATTCACTAGTGTAAAGCTACTAACTAGACAGCCTCAGCAAAAAGGGAAAGAAGAATCCTTCAGAGGACAAGCTGGTTATTTTAGAGCAGTTTTCCTTAGATCTAGGAAATGGTTAGGAAAAGGCATGGGCTAAGGACTTGAAGGAAAGCTACACTGGAATTATTGGATTTTTGCCTCTTCTGACCAAATTGTATTGGTACTGTTATTAATATTTGCTGAAGGGGAAGAACATCATGAACACGCTCTGTTCTGAACATGTAACAGGAACCTGTTCATAATCATAAAAATCTATGAAGAAACCACTGAAGCAAGTGTTCAATATTTCTTCAAATATTTCAGTCTAGGTTTTTTTTTTCATTTTCTTCTAGGCTGTAACATGTTAATGCACACTATAAAATGGCATTTTATTACTGCCACAGACCTCCACGATGATCTGCCTGTATTGTGGTTGGTCAATGTTTTGCAGCATATCTTCAACCAGGAGGGAAAAATTCATTTCATACATCGTCATATCCGATAAGGTAGGTTGCTGAAAAACAAATCATACTTTTATTCAAAGGCCACATGCATTAAATCAAACCCACCCCCAGGCAGAGCCTATTTGCTTGTTGAACAAATAATATTCAACTAAGATATGATAACCACTGTAGGATCAAAAAGGGAGCAGATTTCAGAGTCCACAACTTGGAAAGAAACTTCTACACTTATGGTTTTATAAATGTGCCTTAATAGAAATAATTTGCTTTCATTCTACTCAGATTTTATTTTACTCCAAGTAAAATAGAAAACTTGGTATCCTTTTTTTTTTCCCCAATTAACAAGATACTCAAAGTAAAACATGATGGCATAAAAGAACCATTAATGATAAGGTATTTCCACCATTACTAGTCAGGTGGAGCAGCAGAACCTGAGCCTCTCTGCAGGGTTACCTGGGGCAAGAATCTCCCTGCCACGATCAAGCCATTGGGGGTTCTCTCCAGGATCTGCCACACGCGGTCGTAGAAACCTGAAGGAGTTCTGTTCAGGGAGCCATCCAGCTGCCTCCTGTTCAGCCAGCTCCTGTGGGCACACAGCAACAGCCTCAGCAAACCTGGCACTGCACAGCCAGGCAGGTGAGCAGCGAGCCCAAAGCCACCCCTGGTGCACACAGGACAGGCTGTGCTCTCTGCTGAGCGGCGCCTGAAGCAAACCCAGGGGCTCAGCGTGCAGAGATTGCAGTGTCACCCTTGGGGCTGGCTGTGCTTTAAGGAAATGCAGAAAAAGCAGCAACTGTGAAATCCACCCAGTGCAGGCCAGCAAGGGTAGCAGGTCAAATTCATCAGGTCTAATCATATAAGCAAAGTTTCAGCAAAATTGTTGAAGGCAGGGGTTTTTCCTGATGGTCTGTAGAAAACATCTGGCCTGCAAATTTATAAAATTCAACAGAATGGTTTTGTAAAACTAAGGCTTTGAGCAAACTGAGTGACATTCCACATGAATCACAAATCTTGTTTGCCTTCAGAAGCGTTTCAGCTTTTTTCTTTTCTACTTAAATCCATCAAGTCTGGAATTTAATTTTCCTACTTTTTCTTCTCAGTGTTACTATAGGAATGGGGCTTTAGCCAAAATGGTTAACACACCAACAACGGAACTTGAAGATGTGGCATCCATGGGTATGAATTAATTGGTGGATTCACAAGACAGATTTAAGTCTTGTGTGGCTGTCCTGAATGTATTTGACAGAGAAGACTTCAAGTTAATTAGTCCTTAGCTGCTTTTTGAATTTTAAGTAAAAGCAACACACACATTGTTTTTTAGAAAAACTACAATTAAATTACTGCATTGCAACGTTCCTCATGTGTTTCTTTATTTCTAAGACTGGATTCTGGTAGGCTGCTTGAAAAGAAAAAAAGGAAAAAAATAGGGAAATTCCATTTACCAATATTGTTTTGCAGAACTTTCATAGCCTAGTTCAAATTAATTCAGCACTAATAAGTCTGGGGTTTTAGTTTTTGCTCCATTTGCATTGGTAGATTAACATGACATGCTTAGAATAAAATCACTTGCCTGTAAAATCACCTGTTCCTGCAGACACCAGTGTGTTTGATGAAATCACTAAAATAGCATGCATTTAAAAACCCTTACTCTTAAATACTAGAGAAATTGTGAGAATTCCTTCTGAAATACAATCAGTGAAGAGAACACTAATTCTGACAGCCCCATGCATGGTTTTGCACTTAAGTTTTTAGTGTAGCTCACTCCCAGCTACTCCAGAAGACAGCAAACAGAGGGTTGGTCTGGGTTTTTTGTTTTAAAAGCATGTCATGTCTACTATGACAGTTTCATCTTATTCTCTGTACAGCTCTGTCCTTGGATTAGGATAAGAAAACTTCCATAAAAGTAAGAAGACCACTGGTGTGGTAAAAATTACCAGTTGTTTTCTTAATACAAATAGAGAGGTATTTGAAGATGTCAAAAATGCTCTGACCAACCTACATTAATAGGGTTGGGAAGAGAGTCCTGCAAACTGAATAAGCAAAGTGAGTTTTAGAACTACTTGGACCATTAAAAGAACAATGCTCCATTTAAAAAGAGTTTCTTGCAATCTTCTGACCTACATAAATAGATTAAAAAGTGTTATCTGTGGAGTCTGTGAAAACCTGGAGAGAGGTTAGTTGTGAGATTGTCAGAGAGACTGTTAGGGAGGTAAATAGACCATTAGCCCTTCCTGTTGGATAAATTAATTGGCAGTGAGATAGTTTCACATTAGCAGAGATTTTTTTTCTACAAACATTGCAAGAGTAGGAAAAGCTTCTCAAAAAGAAAAAAAAAAGAAACAGAAAAGGAGGAGGAAAATAATAAAAAGAGTATTCTGTATTTCCTGGCAGGAAGAGAACTTAGAAAAACAAGTCACTAATGGGCAAGGAAAAACGAGTCAGCAATACTGCACAGGAAGAAGCTAGAAAAGAAGTTGTAAGATTGAAAGTTTTGAAGGATATGCTGGTGAGCTTTTGTACTCAGATAACCCAAAAAAGAATCCTCATCCTCAGAAACTCAACCCAAGTGCCCTTCAGTGACCTACCCATCGTGTGTTACAGGAATCAAAAGCAGCAGCTGCTGTGGCAGCACAGGGAAGATCTCTGACAAAAGGTGGTGCTTGAATTGCTTACTGAGATTGACCAAATGCTCCTAAACAGCATTAATACTTAATGAGAAATGCTCAAAGGGGTTGTTCTGCTAGGGTTTTACAGGACAATGTCAGCACCAACACGAGCAGAGACAGCAACTGAACAGCAAGAACTGGTAAGCACAGCCAAGACTCTGAAAAGCATCTGGGAGATACAGAACAGAGCCAGTGGGAGCGAGAGATGAGGCAGTGATTGAAGGAGCTCGTTTCTCAGGGATTATAGATTGGGGAAAAACACAGGTGTGTTTTGAATGAAGCAGGAACATAAACAGCAGGATGTGTGGTGTAATTCCTCTTTGTTGAGAGGAAAAACCTATCATCCATTCAGTCAAGGACTATGGAAATTATCAGCAATATTATGTGCCAAAGTTTAACTTAACTAGAAGTAAAACCAAGAGGAAGAGTTTTGACTTCACTCTTATCAATAAAGTGGAAATATTGCAATTTTAACTTTTGTCTTGCATACTTGGTATCACAATGAATGTTCCTCTTGGCAGCTGGTTACAGCTTGGAGAAAGGATTCCAAGTTTCAGACAGTACCACTATCTTTTAAGAATTCTAGAGAACATCTGCTCTTACTCATATAATAATTTAGAAGAAAGTAGGCACAGAACATCAAACAACTGTTTTTAAGACTTACTTAAGTGGAGGTATTGGGTAATTTTTGGCTCCTTTCCCCACATCAAAGAGTGTAACAGTTCACATTATAGCAGACAGATCTCTTTTCTGTGGCAGTAAAGAGATTTCCGCAAAGATAAAGCTGAAAAGGGAATATGCAATGGAAGAGAAACATTTCTAGAACCTGGGCCTATGTGAAAGAATGAAAAAGTGCATTTTTTCTACTTTCCCTTAAAAATTACATAACTGATTACAGATGCCTGGTGATTTCAGGTGCACACAACAAAGCAGTTCAGAAATGAAATGTACTTGAAGAGAAGTTTTTGAATGAAATCAGGAGCCACAACCCCACACCTCATTACCTGCCTGGCTGCTGAGGCTGCAGAATATCCAGCAGAAGCTGCTTCACCTCACTGGGAGACATCTGGTACAAGTCCTTGGCTGGCATATCCCCAGCACGGATTTTCAGTTCATACTCCATAGCATGGATAATCCATCTACATAAGGGGAGGAATATATTTATTCATTAAATACAAAGTTTCCAAATAGGAAAAATTAGTCTAATAAAACAGCTCATAAGAATTCCACACAATCCTGCTATTTGGCTGTCAGGATGTGCATAAAATATCAGACAAATACTCTCCTACTCTTCCTGTTTGACTGCAACATGATACAAGCTGAAAGGGATAATGCACAGGTTTTAAGAAATGTCTTGTTAACCGTGTTTTCCATAGAGAAAATGGATTGGACTACATTCCCTATATTCCATGTTCATTAAGACCAACATTTACCTGCCTTTTGATGTTAAAATTCCTGCTCAGAATTCTGCTCTGACTATATGTGCATTTTGCTGATGAGTTTTAAAAAGCCATAAAATTTACAGTACTTTACGAAGACTTCAGGGCTTATTTCTTGTTTTAGCCTTTGAAATTCCTTTCTGCAGTCTATCACACCTTCTTTTTCTGCTCCTTTTTGAAAAAAATTTGATTCAATAAAAATATAGCAACAGTGAAGATTTTTAGCCTGAGGTACCAGAGACGCAGAACTTGGCAAAGCGTTGAAGGAAAATGCCAAGTTTTATTGTGCACATTATGTAAAAGCAGTGCTCCAGCCTCTGATGCAATATCAAAGATGAAATAAGGTGCAGGTACCTCAAAAGCCAGATAAGCACAGAACTCGGCCTCCTGCCCTCTACACTGGTTCAGTTCAAGTAGGCACTACTAAAAAAAGGAAACTGAAGTAGTTTTTCTTCAATAGTCCATAACACCTGATCAAGGCTTGGGTATGTCAGAGCCTTTCTGTGTTTATCAGAAAATGCAGTGAGAGATTTAGGCTATCATCTCTGTAGCCACATCCATGGGCATTTAACTATTTAGCTAACAAGGTGCAGAATGTTTTTGCTTATTTAAGTCAAGTCACATTCTTTTCTAGGGAGTTCTCAGTAACTACACAGAATTTGGAGATGCCTGGCCAGCTGATTCAGTGCTGCTTTATATCTGAGGTTTCCAGGACCATGCATCAGAGCTGCAAGATACCAGGGAGTATTAGGGCCCATTACATTATGCAGAACATGCTGCTTTCATTTAATTTAGAGTGTCTTTCTCTTGTTACTAGAATTAACAACACAAGTGGCTCAGGAATTCTTTCCCCACTCATGACTCAAATGTGTCTGTGTGTGAGTCCCTCGCTGGTATTTTCTCTTTGCAGTGGCCTACAAGCCACACCAAAGTCAAGTGTGGACCTTCTGCTGAGCTATTCTCTGATAAGAGGTGAATTCAAGTCAGTTGGCTGGGAGTTTTTACAGTAATAGGGCTGTCAGAAACTTGATCTATTTCAACATGAAACCCTGAAAACAAATCAATAACAAGACACTAAATCAAATCATTATCAAACTGGAACGGCATTTCTGTGAGAAGGTTAATTTTGCTCACTGGAGTGGGTGATAACACTGAAATAAAGGAAATTGAATCTCTAGCATTAACCTTGGGAGAAAGAAAAAAAATTGCAAAAAGGATTAGCTACAGAGAATAAGGAAGGGGAGGAAAGAAGAGTAACATGGATCTGTAGAGGGGACAGAAGAGCATTTAAGTACAAAAGGATACTTCCAGTTAAACGCAACACAGGCAATTTTTGGTTTTATGATGACTGGAATGTACTGCTAAAGAAATATGAATCTTGTATGCTAGAAAAAAGGCTGCTGGTATCTACCTCCAGTGCTGAAACACTGTATTTTTCCCTATGGAAAAAAAATATGGAAGATGAAACACTTAAGTTCTGATTCTGTAAATCTCAGTCACTAGCACCTGGCCTCTTCACAGAAGTGCTTATTCAAATGCATGTCTCTTCCTAAATGTGAAAAATTAATTAACTTCTGTGGGTAGCAAAGTAAATGCAGATACCATGGAATGTGACAACACTCCAGCACAGCCTATTTGTAGGTCACCTTGTCAAAGACATAAAGAGAAAAGGTGGGAGGTAAATGATGTTTTAACCTTGATTGAAGCTGGTGGTTCTCTGAAGTCTGTAGTCCCTGCAGTCCCTGAGATAATAAAGAACAGGCACTTTACTGACCCAATCCGTATCTTCAGCATTCCACTGAACAGTTCTGGGGAATTGGAGATGATCCAGCCAATATGGATGACAAGTTCCTGCTGCACCACGGCTTCTCTTTCATCTTGTAATTGGCATTTTTCATAGATCATGTTCTTAATCACTGCTGGTGATAAGGGGTTAGAAATAACTGCTTCCTCTTGGCCAAAAGGTCCCAGTGTCACCTGCGGTACAGGGAAAACAATTCAGAGGACAGGGACAGGAAGAAAAGCACTGCAAAGCAATTCAGAAACTGAACTCTTCAGAAAGCATCAACTCTGCTTGTTAAAAATTTCACAATACAAGGGTAATTTTATGTCAATGGCTGATGCTTGTTAATACTGTTAATTGCATGTTATTGAAGTAATAAACTTCACTAATGACCACAGTGAATATGGAATATATTTTTCCAAACTAAAATAAAAAAACAAGACCACTGCTTTGGTGGTCTTATACAG